ACTTCATGGGAAATAGATGGGGAAACAGTGGAAACAGTGTCAGACTTTATTTTTTTGGGCTCCAAAATCACTGCAGATGGTGACTGCAGCCATGAAATTAAAAGACGCTTACTCCTTGGAAGGAAAGTTATGGCCAACCTAGATAGCACATTAAAAAGCAGAGACATTACTCTGCCAACAAAGGTCCGTCCAGTCAAAAACCACTGGTTTTGCCAACAAAGGTCTGTCCAGTCAAAAACCACTGGTTTTGCCAACAAAGGTCTGTCCAGTCAAAAACCACTGGTTTTTCCAGTGGTCATGTGTGGATGTGAGATCTGGACTGTGAAGAAAGCTGAGCACTGAAGAATTGATGCTTTTGAACTGTGGTGTTGGAGAAGACTCTTCAGAGTCCCTTGGACTGCAAGGAGATCCAACCAGTCCATCCTAAAGGAGATCAGTCCTGGATGTTCATTGGAAGGACTGATGCTGAAGCTGAAACGCCAATACTTTGGCTACCTCATGGGAAGAGTTGGTTGACTCACTGGAGAAGACCCTGATGCTAGGAGGGGTTGGAGGCAAGAGGAGAAGGGGATGACAGAGGATGAGATGGTTGGATGGCATCACCGACTCGATGGACATGAGTTTGGGTAAACTCCGGGAGTTGGTGATGGACAGGGAGGCCTGGTGTGCTGTGATTCATGGGGTCACAAAGAGTCGGACATGACTGAGCAACTGAACTGAACTGAACTGAAACATAAAAGAATTAATTAAAACCGTAATCTACTCCTAAACTTCCTTAAAGGTTTAGAAACTTAAGGTTAAATTAGCCACACAATCTCTAATATGTAAAATTGTAAGCACAATGGAGGAAATATTTGTGGTCAACATGTTCCCCATGTTTTTTAAACTGGGCTGTTATGTACTTAGAGGAGAGAGAGAGACAAAAAAAAAAAAGAAAGAAAAGAAAATCTTTGAGGCCTCCAACAAACTTTTCTGAGATTTTCTGAATATTCAGCTATCCAGGTCAATTTTTCTCTTTTTGAAAAGTGCTTTGAACTGAAGAGAGGAAAATTGAATGTGTTAATCCCTTAGTCATGTCTGACTCTTAGCAACGCTATGGACTCTATGGGATTTCCCAGGTAAAGAATACTGGAATGGACTGCCATTCCCTCTTCCAGGGAATCTTCCTGATCCAGAGACTGAAACTACATCTCCTGAAACTACATCTCCTGAATTGGCAGGCAGGATTCTTAACACTGAGTCACTAGGAAAGCCAGATCATAAGTACCAGGGATAAGTTTAAAAACACATGGGGAACAACTTCATGGGGAAAAAGTGGAAGCTTCACTGAAGAATCTAAAAGGAACACTGTGCTATGCTTAGTTGCTTAGGTGTGTTCGCCTCTTTCCAATCACATGAACTGTGCGCCGCCAGGTTCCTCTGTCCACTGAGATTCTCCAGGCAAGAGTACTGGAGTGAGTTGCCAAGCCCTCCTCCAGGGGATCTTCCCAACCCAGGGATCAAACCCACGTCTTCTGCACCGCAGGCGGATTCTTTACCAGCTGAGCCGCCAGGGAAGCCCAAAAGGGACTCTAAAGACCCTGAATAAGTGTGTCTGTCTACCTACTTACCTACCTACATATATATGTATGTATGTATGTCTATACAATTTCATGTAAATAATATATGTATTTAATGGGTAAGATAACGCAATATTACATAAAGATGGCAATTCTTTTAAACAATAAATTCAAAGAAATTCACATAAAAATAGCAGGAAGGTTTTCTGTAGAACTTGTTATTCTGGTCCTAATAATATTTATATGAAAATGTAGCCAAAAAAAAAAAAAAAAAAGGTGAAGACAACTTTGAAGAAGTAGCAGGAGTAATTTTCACTATATGCTATTGAAACTTATTATAAAGCTGTGGTAGTTAGAACGTGGGACTGCATAAGGCAAGACATCGGTGGAACAGTATAAAGATCTAAGAAGAATTAAAGACATACATCAGAAAAAAAGCAAAACTTTTAGAAGAAAATAAAGGAGAATACCTTTATGCATTCAGACCAAGGGAAATATTTATACACCCTATACACACACACACACGAGTGCACACCCTTCACTTCACATACAGATCACAAATTACAAAGGAAAAACCCAGAGAATATTTCGACATTAAAAAAAAAAAAAAACCACTTCTTTGTAAAAAGTTACAATTGAATAGCCAAGCCACAAAGTGGAATAGTATACTGATACTTTATATAGTATCAGTATAGTATACTGATAAAGATACATATACCACATGTTTATATATCACTGAAAGAAGAAAACCCAACAGATAACTAAGCAAAAAGCATGAACATATCTTTTACAGAAGAGCAAACAAATTAAAACAATCATGTGAGAAGAAATTCAACTTTACTAGAAGACAAGGAAGTAGAATTAAAACAAGAGGCACTTCCTTGTCTTCTAGAAAGGAATTGTAAATTAAAACAAGATGCATTCAAGAGAGAGGGGACATATGTATACCTATGGCTGATTCACGTTGATGTATGGCAGAAACTAATACAATATTTAAAGCAATTATCCCTCAACTAAAAATAAAAAAAAAACAAGATGTAATTTCATATCCATAAGATAGGAAATGAACAGGTTGGGTAATACCAAGTATTGGTGGGGACTTCAGGAAACAAGGACTAATTCATTTCTGGTGGGAGTGTTAACTGTTCCAACTCTTTTGAAGGACAGAATTTAGCAATATCTGATAAAGCTGAAGGTATGTCTATCCTAAACCCAGTAACAACATACCTCTAAAAAAGTCAAGGCTTTAACACAATAAACATTAATAATAGATATTTACATATGAAGCAAAAGTATAAAGGCAAATAGAGGAATCATGCATACAACATTTGAGAAAATGGCTACCTCTTGGGGAGGGAGGAGAATGGGATGGATGATATTTTCTACTATTTCTTTATATTCTCTGCATGTCTTTTATTGTATCTTTGGTTGGTACCTGAAACACTTTCTAATCTTAAAAAGAAATCAGAGGCAAAATACCAAACTCCAAAATGAAATGCTCTTAAATACTTACTTCTTTGAGTTCATTTCTGTATTTTCAACAATGTCTTCAATGTTCTCTACTAACTTAGTAAATGTTATCTTTTCCAACAAGTAAAAATCTTCTGCATAGAAGTCTTCACCTACAGGTCCTAAGAACTTAAAAATAAAAACAATTATATTATTGTGTGTCTTCTACAAGATCTCAATCTGTGACAGGTTATTTTCTTATCAAATAGGTATTTCTTTAAGCAAAAACTGATTACACAGATAATGGTTATTTATCCCACCATTTACTAAATCCACTGGGAAACATGAGAAAAGTATTTCCTCACTTCAAGATTACAAGTTAACATTTGTATAAATACCAAAATCAACATGTCAAAAAAAAAATCAGCAAATTATTTCCATTTGAAAGTTTTACTTTGAAACATAATGCTTTCAAAAACCTAAGTCTTTTCATTTTAAAGTAAATTATTCAAATAATTATCTATATTTCATAAATCTTTTACTTTCAACATTTACTATTTAATCTCTTAATTGTAGTCCATACTATACACATCTGAATATATAAATAAGGCATAAAAGAACAAAACCAAGAGACAAATCACATAATTTCTTAATAATACCAACCAATCTTCATCTAACCGATGTTGTATAAACTGTTGGTGCACAGCAAGGCCATGTAGGTTAGTTTTAAATCAGTAACTGCAGAAGTGGGAAGCTATAAACTTGCCAGACACCTAATTTCTCAGGATGTCTATCCCATCACAACCACTTCAACTGTGCTACCATTATCATTTTGGGGGGAAGCTAACATGTACATCATAATAGTATGACCATAATAAGCCTTGATATAGAAGGTGAGTCCTTGCATAGTCTTATGAACAGTTAGACTTAAAGCCAATTAGAAAACATGTCAACCAGAATTTTTTTTTTTCTTTCCCTTGGCAAAAGACCAGAGTTGCAGTGGATTTTCTTACTTCCCCTTCATATGCTTCTGCAATTAATATTTTCTAAAAATTAATAAAGCATAGTTCTTCAATCTTTTGTCATTTGCTCATAACAAAGGTGAAATTAGCTGGAATACTGGCATCCAGCTAAATAAATACCATGTTTCACTTTAAACATAAAACCTGGTCTCTTAAATGGACAAAAAATATGTGCTATAATACTAAAAGTACACATATCAATACTTCATTTCCTTAAGATGGCTGTCAATTTTAAGGTTAACTTTCAAAGCACCTTCAGTGTTATATTTTTGGACTATGGATAGGATAGGCCTGGAAAACAGCTGAATTTTATCTATACCACTTCTAGTGATCAAGCAGTTTTTTGTTAATAACTCAAAAAACGGAAATAAAATCTCAAATTATTTTCCTCAGGGATTAACAAGATTGGGAATCTGTACTGATTAAATTCACCAGAAAACTGGCGCTATTTCACCTATGTAAGTTCAAATAGCTAGCAGAAACTCTGTTTTTCTGTGCTTTAGTTCTTCTACTTAAAAGTTGAATGTAATGTTTGTGGAATAAAATGTTAGTGTAAAATCACATAAGGGCCAAATTGAAAAATGGAGCATCAGATTTGAAAATCATGTAATAGTACTATAAAAACTATCTGGAGCTTAAATCTTTACATTTTGGAAATGTGACTTTTCAGTTAAACAGAATAACTGCTGTAACAGAAATGCACTGCCTCCTTTGACAGATCATTAACATTTTAGAAAACTCTGTTAAAATGTTCATGCACATACCGAGTAAAAATCTCTCTCTACTTGTTGAAGTTTCATCCACTGGCCCTGACTCTACACTGACTCTCAATGAACATAAAATCTGTGAAAAGTCAAAGTGAAGTCGCTCAGTCATGTCCAACTCTTTGAGACCCCATGGACTGTAGCCTACCAGACTTCTCCGTCCATGGGATTTTCCAGGCAAGAATACTGGAGTAGGTTGCCATTTCCTTCTCCAGGGGATCTTCCCAACCCAGGGATCGAACTTGGGTCTCCCATACTGCAGGCAGACGCTTTACCCTCTGAGCCACCCAAATCTGTAAAAGTGCCCAACAGTTCTCATGATAGCCTTCAGAGATTTAGAGAAAAGAAAAGTTAATATTTACTGAAAATTTACTCTATGTCTGGGGCCATTCTATGTGCTTTAGGTGTAAAAGCATATTTAATCCTCTGACAACTTTGTAAAACATACTATTACATTTTCTATTGTCCAAATGAACAAATTTTATGACAAAGGTCATATAATTAATGGTGTAACTGGAATCTGAATCCAAACTGTCCTGCTAAACAAAAAGGCCTTGCTTGTTTCCCTCCTCTCTGCTGTACCATCTGTCAGTCATCTGTAAGCACGCGCGTACCCGTTGTTCAGTCACTCAGTCGCGTCTGACTCTGCAACCCCGTGGACACAGCACGCCAGGCGTCCCTGTCCTCACCCTCTCCCAGAGCTTGCTCAAACGCATGCCCCCTGAGCTGCTGATGCCGTCCAGCCGTCTCGCCCTCTGCCGTCACCTTATCCTCCTGCTTCCATCTTTCCCAGCGTCAGGATCTTTTCTAGTGAGTCAGTTCTTCGCATCAGGCGGCCAAAGTATTGAAGCTTCAGCATCAGTCCTTCCAATGAATATTCAGGACTGATTTCCTTTAGGCTTGACTAGTTTGATCTCCTTTCACTCCCAGGACTCTCAAGAATCTCCAACATCACAGTTCAGAAACATCAATTCTTCAGTGCTCAGCCTTCTTTATGGTCCAACTCTCACATCCACATGTGACTACTGGAAAAATCACAGCTTTGACTATAAGGACCTTTGTCAGCAAATTTATTTATTTATTTTATTATGGAGTGTAATAAGAATAAATATAATTATATTGGGTTAGCTACAACGTTCATTCAGATTTTTCTATAAAATGTTATGGAAAAACCTAAACAAACTTTTTGGCCAAACCAACAGCAACAGTATTATTTAGGGTTTTATTTAATATTAAAATAGATCTTAAATTCTTTAGCATGTCAGTAAGAAAGTATGAGATCAATACTCCCTAGTTTTGATCATTTATATCACCTATGTAAGTTCAAATAGCTAGCAGAAACTCTGTTTTTCTGTGCTTTAGTTCTTCTACTTAAAAGTTGAATGTAATGTTTGTGGAATAAAATGTTAGTGTAAAATCACATAAGGGCCAAATTGAAAAATGGAGCATCAGATTTGAAAATCATGTAATAGTACTATAAAAACTATCTGGAGCTTAAATCTTTACATTTTGGAAATGTGACTTTTCAGTTAAACAGAATAACTGCTGTAACAGAAATGCACTGCCTCCTTTGACAGATCATTAACATTTTAGAAAACTCTGTTAAAATGTTCATGCACATACCGAGTAAAAATCTCTCTCTACTTGTTGAAGTTTCATCCACTGGCCCTGACTCTACACTGACTCTCAATGAACATAAAATCTGTGAAAAGTCAAAGTGAAGTCGCTCAGTCATGTCCAACTCTTTGAGACCCCATGGACTGTAGCCTACCAGACTTCTCCGTCCATGGGATTTTCCAGGCAAGAATACTGGAGTAGGTTGCCATTTCCTTCTCCAGGGGATCTTCCCAACCCAGGGATCGAACTTGGGTCTCCCATACTGCAGGCAGACGCTTTACCCTCTGAGCCACCCAAATCTGTAAAAGTGCCCAACAGTTCTCATGATAGCCTTCAGAGATTTAGAGAAAAGAAAAGTTAATATTTACTGAAAATTTACTCTATGTCTGGGGCCATTCTATGTGCTTTAGGTGTAAAAGCATATTTAATCCTCTGACAACTTTGTAAAACATACTATTACATTTTCTATTGTCCAAATGAACAAATTTTATGACAAAGGTCATATAATTAATGGTGTAACTGGAATCTGAATCCAAACTGTCCTGCTAAACAAAAAGGCCTTGCTTGTTTCCCTCCTCTCTGCTGTACCATCTGTCAGTCATCTGTAAGCACGCGCGTACCCGTTGTTCAGTCACTCAGTCGCGTCTGACTCTGCAACCCCGTGGACACAGCACGCCAGGCGTCCCTGTCCTCACCCTCTCCCAGAGCTTGCTCAAACGCATGCCCCCTGAGCTGCTGATGCCGTCCAGCCGTCTCGCCCTCTGCCGTCACCTTATCCTCCTGCTTCCATCTTTCCCAGCGTCAGGATCTTTTCTAGTAAGTCAGTTCTTCGCATCAGGCGGCCAAAGTATTGAAGCTTCAGCATCAGTCCTTCCAATGAATATTCAGGACTGATTTCCTTTAGGCTTGACTAGTTTGATCTCCTTTCACTCCCAGGACTCTCAAGAATCTCCAACATCACAGTTCAGAAACATCAATTCTTCAGTGCTCAGCCTTCTTTATGGTCCAACTCTCACATCCACATGTGACTACTGGAAAAATCACAGCTTTGACTATAAGGACCTTTGTCAGCAAATTTATTTATTTATTTTATTATGGAGTGTAATAAGAATAAATATAATTATATTGGGTTAGCTACAAAGTTCATTCAGATTTTTCTATAAAATGTTATGGAAAAACCTAAACAAACTTTTTGGCCAAACCAACAGCAGCAGTATTATTTAGGGTTTTATTTAATATTAAAATAGATCTTAAATTCTTTAGCATGTCAGTAAGAAAGTATGAGATCAATACTCCCTAGTTTTGATCATTTATAAACAATTTTAACTTTGAATATGTTTCAATTCTAATGCAAATATTTGGACAGGTTCAAAATGAAGATTGATTCTAAAATGTCAGAATTATTTTGAACATTAAATCATCTGGTTCAGAATTATAGGTACCTGCTACAATTGCTATGATTATTGTGTTTTATAAAAGCATTACTCTTGAGACACAGTAATAAGCTAAGTACTACATTATCGTTCAGAAACCACAGTACTTATTTTCAGATATATCACACTTTTCTATTTCAAACCACAATCCTACAAATACAAAGATAATAAAAATTATAATTTTTCATTACTCAACATAAAAAGTCAACGTATTTGACTTCCTAACTATCTCCAGTCCTGACCTCTCCCCTGAACTTAACTCATGTCCAGTTGCTGACTCAACCAGTCTACTCACAAGTCCAGGACGCAACACTGAACTCTTACTATATGCAGAACTAAATTCTCTATCTGATCTTCCTTTTCCTCTGAACAAGCCCACTCCTCCTGCAAGTCTTCCTTACCTTAAAACAATGCAACTTCATTCTGCTGGTCATGCAGTTCTCTCACATCCCACAGCAAATCTGTAAGCAACTCCTGTTCACCCTTCCTTCAAAATACGTCTCACGTCTACTTCTCTCTATTTCCACTAGAGCCATTCTGGTCCAGGCCACCATCAGCTCTCACTTGGTCTACTGTAATAGCTCCTAACTGGCTTCCAGCCTCTACCGTCTATTCTCAATGTAATAGCCACTAATGATCCAAATAAAATGTAAATCAGTTTATGTCAATCCCCTCTCCAGAACAATGAGCTTCTCAACTCATTCAGAGTAAAACCACACCTGATCTGGCCTCCCAGCTACTTCTCTCCTGTTCTCCTCATATCTGCTATTCTTAGAACACACAGACATAGCCTCATCTCAGGACTTTGTACTCCCTGTCCCCTCTCCCTAGAACATTCTTCTTCCAGATATGCAACACAGTTTGCTCTCTCACCTCTTTTGGTTCTCTGTCCAAATAACCCCATATAACTAAGGACATTATTTGTTTTTGTTCCCTGTGCATCACAATGTAAACTTCACAAAAACATGTTTTTTTCACTACTATACTTTTGGATTCCAGAAGAATGTTCAGTTCATGGCAAGATTACAGCTAAATCCTTTTGTCAATTTCAAGGAAAATGAGAAGAAAAGAGTTCTAAAAGAAATAAGCTGAACATAACTATAAAATTTATCACTAATATTGATAACAATATTATCATGGCTGAGTTATATTAAGCCATGACAAAGAAAGCATAGAGTAGCTTTTCCATTATGTATAACCAAAAGCAAATTAATAGATACAGCAGGCTGTAACTTTGTACCCCTTAAAGTGCCTGACAAAGTCAAAGGTAGCCTTATACTTTAAAACTGTTCTAAAAAGTTTTATTTCTTCCCAAAGCAACTGCTAAAGAAAAAAAAAGCAATACCATTTTTGGGCCTTCAAATAGCTCACTATCAAAATTCACTAACACTTTACATTATTGTACTATAAATGTCAACTGTTGTCACCAATTTTACAGTAGTACTATACATGAGTCTAACTACCTTTAGGAGCTAACACAATTAGCACAAGAACTGTTACACTGAAGAAGAAATACTTAATTTGTGGATGATATGAGTCCCTCATTATTCCCCAATTTCTATTATTTACAGATTCAAATAAGAAAGAATAAATAAGCATAATTTTAAGGGAATGATGATATGGGAATGGAGCACACAGGGAACAGAACTCATAAAAATGTAGAAAACTGAGCTTTGATGATGACTTAGGGATATACAATTTGATGCTTCAAGCAGAGGTATGTCAAACACACTGCATTAGCTGATTTCTAAAAATACTTAAGCATCAGATTCAATTTTTAAAAACTTAAATCACACCTGAGAGAGAAAACTAGACTATCATACTAAAAATATTAATAAGTAGCTATCATCCACTAATTTTGTATGTATCTATTACAACTCCCTAATCAACTGGAAAAATATTTTTAGTATATTAAGAGAAAAAAAGTGTGGTTATAATTATGTATAAAAAACAGACAAGGCTACGTGGAGTAGAAACAAAGGATTTGAAGGTAAAACCTAGAGTGTGGGATGGCATGGGAGACAGGAGAAAGATTCAAGAGGGAGGCAACATATGTATACCTGTGGCTGATTCGTGCTGATGTACGGCAGAAACTAACAATATTGCAAAGCAATTATCCTCCAATTAAAAATAAATAAATTTTTTAAAAAAGAAAAAATCTTTATTAGGATATTGGGAATAAGAGTAACCTTCCCCATAGTTTTTAAAAATTATATTAATACAAATATTACAAATAATACAAACACAAATTATATTAATATAAATATTACAAATAATACACAAATAATACAAATATAACATACAATTATATTAATTATATTTGTGGTATAACTTTATACCACAAAACCTACAAAGGTATTATTAATATAATCAATTGTAGAAAAAAGCGACAAACAGAAAAAAGATGTTAAAATGTACTTAATACACACATTTACAACAGTGATTCTCAATTACAATGTTGTAATATATACTAAACTGCTTGTTCTAATACTTACCTTATAAAAGCTATCCCCAAAGAACATCCTCAGCCACATCCAATGTTATCATCAATGGGGGTAGGGGTGAAGACACAGGGAGCGTGCCATGAACTGAATGATCTCAGAGGCCAGTTTATTTAAGCTGAGACCTGCCTGGCATGAGCCTCTGTGTGTACTGCATTAGGTGTATTGTAACAGAAAATGTTTGAGACCTTTGAATCACAGTGTCACTGAGAAAAGTAAGCAATCGCTTTTTCTACTTACCCTCCCATTGCTGACAACACCGTTTTCTCCAGGACTCAATTTAAGTACATCTCGGCAGAACAACTGGTGAGTTCGAAAAATATTCACTCCAATGGTATTATATTTTTTCTCAAAGGCATTTTTATCCATCCCCTAAGGCATAAGTTAAGAATGATAAAACCAATAAGAGAACAGTAAATACACAAAATAATTTTTTAACATAGCTTACTTTAATAAGTCATTATAAAACTTAAAATTACATTAACTTTTGATTTTTAAAAGTACCATCTTGTTCACATTTTAAAAAAAGAATCCTTCTTGGCAAGGCAATTACAATATTTGTAAATCCTGTTATAAGTAGATAGCTTGCTATTCCTTTGTTGAGAACGTGGGGTACATTACTGATTAATAAAACGCTAGGGAACATCATTTAAAAAAATGTAACATTAAAAAATAAAATACAACATTTATTAAATTCTGAACTCAGTACTTCCATTTTGGTGTGCTCAACTAAAAAATACTGGTTAAAATAAAAATACTCTGTCTCATTCCAATCCCACAAAACCAGTTTAGTAATAGTACATTTAAATTCTGAAATACAAAAGTAATATTATCCATCTCAGTGTGTATCAAACATTAAGTGAAAGTCACTCAGTCATGTCTGACTCTTTGCGACCCCACGGACTATACAGTTCATGGAATTCTCCAGACCAGAATGCTGAAGTGGGTAGTCTTTCTGTTTTCCAAGGGATCTTCCCAACCCAGGGATCGAACTCAGTTCTCCCTCACTGCAGGTGGATTCTTTCAAACATTAATATGCATAAAAATCACCTGGGTGACTTGTTAAAATATAGATTGTACTGGAGTAGATCCAGGGTGGGCCTTGCCTTCTGCATTTTTATCATGTTCCTGGATTACCTACAATATCAGAAAAGGTTCCCTGCCTGCCCAAGGCACAGCCACAGGTGGGTACTGAGCTCTAGAAATCTGGCTAGTATGACTGAGAAATTTACTGTAATTTTATTTAAATTTAAAACAGCCACATGAAGTTGCGGCTACAGTATCAGACAGTGCAGCCCTACAACTTCACTTTCAGAATATCTCAAGTCAACTCCTCTCTGATCACAAGCTGCTGACCCTTCAGCTCATTCACTCCAGTGTCACCAGAACAACCATTAGCCAACCCTTCAGTCCCTTGATCCAACCACTTATTGTCTATCGTGCTTTCCATATCATAATTTTTCTCCTGACCAACCAAGCTCTACCTCAGAGCCCTTTACCATACAAAAACAGTGCATGCTCAGTTCCCTTGAATGCCTCCTCTAAGTTATAATCACCTGGCAAAACCTCAACTCTGGCTAAACATAATTCTGTTTACTCTGCGACAGGATCCAAACAGTGTTAGGATGGCTGGAGAAACACGTGCAGCCAACAATGATCTCACTTTCAGTTATGGTCACTAATCTCAAGAGAGCCCTCAGAAATTTTCCTATACCACTGTTGATTCACTTTCTCACTCTCAGAATAGGAAAATACTTGACATTCTCTCCTCTTCCCTCTAACCTCTAAGAGCACCCTACTCTCATCCTAATACTTAGCTAATGATTTGACTTTTTTTGAAAACGGAATTAATCAGAAGAGAAGTACTCATCTTGCTACCACCAAATAAATCTACTCTGTTCTTAAACCAACAGTTAGAACTTGTGCACTGGGTCCCAGCACCTCTTTTCTACTCAAAAAACATCCTCCCACTTTGCTCCTTTCTCTCCAGATCATCCTTTCTCATACTTGGATGGACTGTTTTCATTAGCATACCAAAAAAGTGAAATCCTTCCCTGACCTCAAGTCCTATTCTAGCTACACAATGTTTCTCTGTTCTCCACATAGGAAAATTCCTTTAGAAAGCTATGAATACTTGCTGTCTCTCTTTTATGATTTCTGATTTCCCTTTCTCTCTTGACTCTAGTTCACCTTTATACCTAGTACTTCATTGAGACTGTTCTTATCAGTCACCAACGACCACTTTCCTAACTTCAAGACATCTGGCATAGCTGACCATGTCCTCCTGTAAATACTTTCTTCAGATCCACTGTATTCCTGAATCTGGTATATTCTTCTTACAGACTTTCCATGGCTTGATATCTCATTTCATTCAGACCTTTGCCCAAACAACAGCTCTTTAGAGATGCCTTCCCTTGACCACTCCAGCTAAAAGAACATCCCTCAAACAGTATACTTCTTTTTTGGGGGAGGAATAATTTTTATTTTATTTTTTTCATTTATTTTTATTAGTTGGAGGCTAATTACTTCACAACATTGCAGTGGGTTTTGTCATACATTGACATGAATCAGCCATGGAGTTACATGTATTCCCCATCCTGATCCCTCCTCCCACCTCCCTCTCTACCCGATTCCTCTGGGTCTTCCCAGTGCACCAGGCCCAAGCACTTGTCTCATGCATCCCACCTGGGCTGGTGATCTGTTTCACTATAGATAATATACATGCTGTTCTCTCGAAACATCCTACCCTCGCCTTCTCCCACAGAGTCCAAAAGTCTGTTCTGTACATCTATGTCTCTTTTTCTGTTTTGCATATAGGGTTATCATTACCATCTTTCTAAATTCTATATATATGTGTTAGTATGCTGTAATGTTCTTTATCTTTCTGGCTTACTTCACTCTGTATAATGGGCTCCAGTTTCATCCATCTCATTAGAACTGATTCAAATGAATTCTTTTTAACGGCTGAGTAATATTCCATGGTGTATATGTACCACAGCTTCCTTATCCATTCGTCTGCTGATGGGCATCTAGGTTGCTTCCATGTCCTGGACAGTGTACTTTCTTATAATCTTTTTTCCTAGCACCACTTACCTTTTCTTTCCCATTACAGTGTAAGTCCATAAGAACAGGGATTCTATCTGCCTGTTCACAAGTATTATCCCCATTGTCTGGGAGTCAATCAATAAATTTTTTGAATGGATTAATGAGTCTTTCTTCCAGAGCATCAGCTTTTACCTTAGAATTTTTCCCTGTACTGGATCCCTTCAGTGAAATAACTGAGGATTATTCACATATTCCTTTAACTCCCAATTCTTCACATAAGTACATATCCAAACTAGAAAGCCATTAACTTTAAGATCATTGAGTAGTAGCTGAAATATCTGAAATTTGATATGTTCAGTGCTTCTATGCAAAGCCATATCATTTAAAGAGGACCTTTCCCACTGTAAAGCTTATGATCCCCATTTGATTATACTTATTGATTTTTTGGCAACATATCTCCAAGCACACTGAAATATTTTTGAAATATGCAACAGATATGTATCTATTATTTCAAACAGCTACTAACCTCAGTAAGCAATGTTTTAATTTTATTTCCAGAGTAAATAGCTGCAGCAGTTTTTTCTTCCGCCAGTTTCCTGAGAAAGTTTCTCAAAAAGCTGTTTTTCAGTGTAAGAAAAGCTGCCAGAATTCCTCTAGAAATAGTTGTGTTTTCTTCATCTATTTTTGATGTAGGATTATAAATAACCCCCAACCGACTATGACCACTTCTTTTCTGCAAAACACATTTAAAGGTGATAAAAATCAGTATTTTACTTATCCTTTTACAATGGAATTTTGTAAATCTCATAAAATTTTCAAAGACTAAAATCATACGAAGTACACTTGATCCTTGAACAATGCAGGGGTCAGATGCGCCGACCCCCTGAGCAGTCGAAAATCCACTTATAGTTGGCCCTCCATACTCAAAGATCCACATCTGTAGAGTCAGCCAACCACAGATGACATAATACTGTAGTATTTACTATTGAAAAAAATTTGTGTGTAAGTGGATCCGTGCTGTTCAAACCCTGCTGCTGAAAGAGCAAAAGTATATTCTTTGACTACAGTGTAATTAAGTTAGAAATCAATCACCAAAAGAAAACTAGAACATCAGTCTAATTTTTATGAGATAACCCAGCATCTACAAATGTTTTTTAAATGTTACATTTGTGCTTTGCAAGAACATATACTATGCAATGTGTATTTTTCTATCAATATTCATTGGGTAAAGTTTGGGGATTTTATTATTCAAATCATCTGTACACCCCTATTGATTTTCTGTTTACTTGTTTTACTTATTACTGAGATAGATATGTTAAAAACTAGTACAATATGGAGGCTGGTAGACCAAGATCAGCGTGCCAGCATGGTCAGGTGCTGATGAGGACCCTGTTCTGGGTTGCATTTTCTAATTTCTCCTTGGATCCTTACATGACAGAAAGAGAGTAGGCTAACTCTAGGACCTCTTCTTGTTAAGAGCACTAATCCCATTTATGAGGACTCCACCCTAATGACCTAATTACCTCCTAAAGGTCCCATCTCCAAATATCAGCACATTTAGGATTAGATTTGAACATTAAAATTTTGAAAGAAAAGAAAAAAGTGTTAGCCACTCAGTAGTGTCTGACTCTGTGTGATCACATGGACCGTAGCCTGCCAGGTTCTTTTGCCCATGGAATTCTCTAGGTAAGAATGCTGGAGTCGTTTGCCATTTCCTTCTCCAGGTATCTTTCCCACCCAGGGATCAAACCTGAGTCTCCTGCACTGCAAGAAGATTCTTTACCATCTGAGCCGCCAGGGAAGCCCTATAAATTTTTGGAGGGACACGAACATTCAGCACATACACGCCATTACACATGTACATGTATGTGCAACAGCAAGGACTAGGAGAGAATATACAAGTCATGAATCACAGAAGACAGGTAGGGCTATCTTTTCTGGGTCAAGGTGGCCTATCTTACATGGAGAAAGAATCTGAACACCTGTCTTAGCACCATGTTCTAACCAAGTTAAGGAACTGAAAATGTTAACATGAAGGAAAATCTAGATTTAATGCACATTTTTCATACTGCTTTCTCAAAATTACAGCACATTAATTTTTGTAGAAAGTGTCCAAATACTCACCATGTGATTTAATGCATTAAAAAGCAGTTTTCTCCCAGATGGTTTGTCAAAATCAGCAACAATCCAGAAAGTAACTGAAGAAATTACATAATCATCTGAAAGTTTCAAACAGTATAAACTAATTCTTCAAATCAAACCAAAGATAGGAACATTTCCAGTTAACAAAATACATAAAAATAATTTTTAAAATGAATCATTTTGAAAATAAGCAAATATTGGTAAAAATTAAACACACACAGAGTGAAATACATAGAAAATGTTAAGAGTAACTCATTTATAAACTTTGTATAAACTCAGATACCAAAAAGAAAGAATAGTCCCCAAGAAACACATCTATGGGATACTTTTGCCAGTAGAGAAAATTGTATTATGCTTAGCAAGGTTCCACTGCTGGCATGTAAAACTGCCTTCCAGCTACATATGTAAAAAAAAAAAAAATGATATTTATACCTTACATAATGTAAAACCAGACACAATAAATTATTAGCAGATACTGGAAACAGCAATATTTTATTAGCTTATGATTCATGTATTTCAAAAATTCTGGCTATTGTTAGCTTAGTCTAATTCACATCATCTTGTGCCAAAAACATCAATGCATTTTTTTCCCCCAGAAATATCTGAAAATCTGGAAGCCACAAGATGAAACAATTTTTAATTCTGCAGTCACAGTTAAATGGGTTTAATTTCATCCAACCTTAGCATATAACATCTGAAATAATACTTGTCTGGCTATCATTAAACCTATACAAAAATTAGTTCCTTGGATCATATGACCCACTTAAAATAACTATAGAAAGTTTGCTATACCAAAAACTTACACCTGAATAGATGTGAAGCTACAGTTATCATCATTGTTGTTGTTCAATTGCTAAGTCATGTCCGACTCTTTGTAACCCCATGGACTGCAGCACGCCAAGCTTCCCAGTCCTGCACCATCTCCCGGAGTTTGCTGAAACTCATATCCACTGAGTAGGTGATGCCATCATACCATATCCAGTAATATATAATTATGCAAAAACTGACTTTCATTAATGAAAAAAATAAGTAACATAATGAAGGCCAACACTGATTCTCCTTGCAATCCTTCAGAAGCAATTTAAGAGTAATGCAGTGCTGACACATTCTTTCCAAAGAAGAAAGGTAAAGAATTCTCATGCCTTCTTAAATGTGAGCACTTTTACCATTACAAACAGTAAACTGAGAAATATTTCAAAAATGCTAAGCAAGTTTCTCCCAATTTTATATTCCTTTACATAAATACAAATAAAGAAATAAGGTGTTTCTCAGTTAAGTATTCTTTTAAATTGCAAGAGATTTAATCTAAGGCCATTAGTTATAGGCTAACTTACTCTATTCTGCCTCCCCGAAGCAATTTTTGAAATACAATCCAGAACCTGATAAATATATTTCTTCTATTTTTTATTCCCTGTTTCTCTGTCTACTTTTCCTTTCATTTGACACATTCAGGACCTTAGCCTGCCATACAATGGAACTGAATTATATCTTATTATTTGTTGAATTTCTTGTAGACAGACCACTTTATGAACATAAAATCACCGATCTGTTAGAAAGTAATTCAAAGGCGATCTGGTCCTAATTTGGATTCACCTCATAGCATTCTCAAAAACTAGCTGTCTGCTTAAATCTCTCTCATATATAAAAATTACCCCTTATTTCACAGTAATTTCATCTTTAGATCACTCATTGTCAGAAAGTTACCACTTTATATAACAACATAAAAATCAGCTTTCTTTTATGTTTCATGCCTGGGTTCTCTGTGTTCTCTCCAGAACAAAGTACGTCAAGCAAAACAAAGTGAAACTCAAACCAACCAAACTCCATTATCTGAAGAGTTCATGGTGTCTCACAAGTCTGTGGTCATACTGCACTTTTCCTATCTAGGCTAAATCCTTATTTCCAAAGATGTTCCTGTCTTGGTTCCCCTTCCTTTGAATATGACCACTATCCTAAGCAAAACATTCAGACACTGTTTAACCAGAATGCAGAACTATTCTCCCCTCATCTGGGAATTACACTTTTATTGATCCCTTATAAGATTATCAGGTTACTTAATCTTGAAAGTGTTTTATAACCTTCCTAAAAAGGGGAATAACAGAATAGCTTGCTTTAAAAAAAAGGCAAAGAAATAAGATTAACCCCTCTCCATATATGATTAGCTAGGATAGCCGGCATCATTTTTCTCAGCAAAATCCTTTTATCCTAACAATTTACAAATTTTCAAATTGAAAACCAGGCCTCTAGTCAAATAACAACATACAGAAATGCGTTATGCAAACATTTAATAAAATTATTAACTTTTGCATTTAGGAATAACTTCAGGAAAATAAAATATGCTTATTACCTCCTTCAGTTACATAGTACATGTTCTCTGCAATTACAGCACTCTTATCTTGTGTATCCAAGAAGAAGAAAGTAGAGAAATCTTCAACATCAGCAGTTACTAAAAATTTTAATATTAAATGTTAAGTAATGAATTAATAAAACATTCACAACTCAATAAACATTTGTAGAAAAGTACATGGAAGGATTATTTTACCTGATGTAGATATCAAATTAAGGTACTGCCATTTATTGTGCAAAATCAAAGGATTTATACGGGGCACAACATTATTTTTACCCATTAGGAAGTCAACTGCATTTATTCGATCATTTAATGTACCCTAAAATAACAAAATATTATTTAGGTAATATAGGCAATTTATATGCATATGTTTTAATATGATGCAGAGAATACATTTAAAGACTGCTTAATCTAAAATAAGTCAATTTAAGAGTCTTATAATAAATTTTCCTGTAAAACTTTGGAGTTTCTTTCCAATTAAGCAATTTTTAGATGTAATTATGCACAGATAAATTTAATTACTACTTTAAAAAGCACTACTAAATGATTAGAATGGAAACTTTTATGCAATTAACTTTAGCTATTAAGATAGTTCTAATATAGAAATGATCTATAAATATTATTCATCACACATTTTTTCATACATGCTTACCTACCATAAAAACTTCCTTTTGTAAATACGCAGTTGTATCCATCATTCTGTGAAGAAGAGCCATTTCTAATTCCTTAAAATTCAGCTCTTCACGATGAAAGGATTCACCATTATAAAGAGCTTGAGGCAAAGGACCCAAGCCAGTCATCTTATAAAAATTTGTTCCTGCCTATTCAATTAAAAAAATATCAGAGAGTTAAACAGAATATGTCTGTCTGAGAAAGAAATACATAAATAAAGGGACTGCCACATTTTTGTATGTCATAGAAAAATGTTAGTTTTGCTAATTTTATCTGTTCTTTACAACATTACTTAAAGGAAGGTAATTTACCTAGAGAGAACAAGTCAGAAAACTTTTTTTAAAAGGCCCAGGCACATATTTTAGGTTTTGTGAGTCATCTGGTCTCTGACACAACTACTCAATCGTGATGTTACAGTGCAAAAGCAATGACACACAACACATGAACGAATGAACCTGGCTGTCTCCAACAACCTGTGTTTATAAAAACAGGTGGAAAAATAGGTGGTGGAAAGGCTGGATTTGGCTCGGGGGCTGTAGTTTTCTGGCCTTTGATACAGAGTATGACTTGACTTTAAAAAATACATCTAAGTACATAAGAGGTTAATTTATCTCTATTTCATTTGTTTAGTAAACATTCATTGAAGTCATGTGTCTAGCCAGACTCTGTGAGTACAAAGCTAAAATATCTGTCTTCAAGGGGCTCACACATATACAAGCAAAACTGAGGCCATAAACCAGGTTTTATGGGAGCCCGGAAAAGAAGTGACAAAGTTTGAGTGTGGAGAGAGAGATCATAGAAACCCTCTTCAGGGAATAACAACAAAATCTTAAAGGACAAGTAAAAATTTGCTTGTCCTTTAAAAGTGGAGAAAGACATTCCAAGCAAAAACAGATAGCACTGCAAGGATTAGAAGGGAAGAGAGAATATGGTGTATTTAGGCAATAGCAAACAGTTTTCTGTGTTATCACTTTATAGATGATAAAACATACAGAGAATCACTTCCAATGTCATATAAATACTACATTTTTTCCCCCAGTTATTTTTATTAGTTGGAGGCTAATTACTTTACAATATTGTAGTGGTTTTTGCCATACAATGACATTAATCAGCCATGGATTTACATGTGTTCCCCATCCTGAACATCCCTCCCACCTCCCTCCCCATCCCATCCCTCTGGGTCATCCCAGTGTACCAGCCCCGAGCACTTGTCTCATGCATCCAACCTGGACTGGCGATCTGTTTCACACTTGGTAATATACATGTTTCGATGCTGTTCTCTCAGATCATCCCACCCTCGCCTTCTCCCATAGAGTCCAAAAGTCTGTTCTATACATCTGTGTCTCTTTTTCTGTCTTGCATATAGGGTTATTGTTACCATCTTTCTAAATTCCATATATATGC